CGCACCCGAACAACCAAACGCAGAGTTTTCATTGACCGAGGAAAGCCGACAAACGCCCAGTGAGCTAAACGAGCTAGGGAGGGAGGAAAAGAGAGAGAGCAGGGGCGGGAAAAGAGAGGAGAAAGAGGGGATGCAATGCAGGGCATGTTCAAGGAGGGCAGCACACAAGGTTCAGACTAGACTTCGTTCATCGCACCTGGCATTTCTCCACTGCAACTCCTCCCAGCATCTCACTAGCAGCCTGCAGCTGCACACGTCGAATGAGGTCTGGACCAAGTCAGCCCCCCTGCTCCTACCTGGACCGACGGCGCTCTCTCGCTCCTGCATGCGAACGCTCTGGGAACGCTATCAGCTATCCAGTGACAGCATCCTCCTCCTCCCGCCCCTCACATCAGGAACAGGTCGTTCACTGCTGACTTCGACTGTGCTTCCAACAGGACGTTCAACGCTGCGCGCAAGACGAGCAAAGTCACGCAAGGGATTCCATGGCAGCATCAGGTCACCAGCAACATCCGTGTTGGTGTACTCCATCGATGACGACACTCTCGCGCTCTCCTCTCCTTTCTCGCTTCACCAGATCCCCGGCTCCGACCGCTGCTGTCAAGATCTCAACCCTGAGTTGCCGCTATCAGAAATTGGAATGCACAAACAGCTCCAACGCTCTGCATGCCCAGGTGTGAAGCAGCGTCGTACGTGAGACCTAGTCGCTTTCCACTGTTCCTCTTCGACACCTCAGCGCATGGTCTTCCTATCCTCCTGACTTCTTCCCTCCCAACCCTCATCATGCAAGTACTATTCTCTATCCTACCAACCTGAAACAAACCCTCATGTTTCTACAACCAGCCCTCAATGTCCTACGCTCTCCTGCTCCTCCTGATCTTACTCCGTCTTTCCTTTGTCCCCCTCCTCATCATCATCATCATCTCCATCATCATCATCATCATCTCCATCATCATCATCATCATCTCCATCATCATCATCTCCATCATCATCATCATCATCATCATCATCATCATCATCATCATCATCATCATCATCATCATCATCATCATCGTCATCGTCATCGTCATCGTCATCGTCATGGTCATCGTCATCGGCATCGACATCGTCATCGTCATCATCGGAGTCATCCCCTCCACTTTCCC